GGAAAGAGTAAAGGCCTACAAAATAGTGTACAGTGGGGAGAAGTTGAGCAAGGAATGACCTTACTCAACTTTGCTATTTCTTACAGCGCAGAGGAAGCACATCCAGCAAAATTATTTATCAGGCAGGAGGTTAAGGAAGTCCTTTTTCAACACAGTTGGTTTGCAGAACATGTTGCTATGAGATGGCATGAAGGCTGAAAATACACACAGATTCCAAAAGGAACCAGATACCTCAGTGGCAGAGATGTGTTTCAGTGGCTGTTAAACATGGTGGTCAGTATGCAGCCTCTAGCTCTAGAAGTTCCTTGACTGCGAATTGTTGCAGGGTGGAAGAGTGTGGCCTTAGGAGAGATCACTCCATACTCTGTGATATGTATATGCCAGTGCCAAAATGTTAAGGATAGGGCACTAGACCAGAAAATTCTTGGTGTGACCCAATATGGTGGTTCTTGTTACCAGGATACGCTGAAACACTGGAGTGAAAATGAACTGATTTAGTTTTGAGCACTTCTGGTCTAATGGCTCTCCTGTGGGAGTTACGCACAGGTCACCACAGATTTTCTTATATCTTTTATTAGCAAACCTGAAAGCACTTGCAGGAGAAAGGGACCGGTGCAGGCATAGCCCACCAGCTCAGTGTGCCAGACACTGCTGTGGTTGTTGCAGAGTATGCCAGCTCAGTGACTACAGCCCAAGCCAGCCAGCTGAGATGCCTGGCATTAGCTGTCTGGTCCTATCTTTGCTCCTCCTTGGCTTCTGATTAGGGTCTGGTTTGGTTTATGTCCTGATGGAACGGAATCTGGATTCTTAGAGCTGCTTGTTCATGTAACTGTGGGCGTTACTGTTATCCATCCAAATGTCTCGTCCTACGGAGAGGGGAAAGAGCAGGCTATTGCGAATTCTATTGTGAATTCCTCTGTCGTTTCCAAGTCCTATGTTGCAATTTCCTTCACAGTCTAAGTAGCAAAATGTCTCCAGTCTCCCTCCACTGGGAACTGGGAAAGGCTGGAATCGCACTGCCTTGAAAAGTCTATTTGCTGATAATGGAGTGCCTTAGATGCTCACTTTAGGAGCAACAGCAGGGGCCACTCTTATGTGCCGCTCAGCCTGTTGAAAACTTACCAAACCAATGTTTTTTTTCGTTGAAGCTGGCTGAGGCTGTAGCAAAAGCAACCAGACAGTAATGGGCATATGATTTTTGTCTGCCATTCAGCTTGCTGCAGGGGGGTTCTTAACTGCTTAAGCCTGAGCATGGTATCGCAGTGAGATTTTGGGAACACTGGACTCAGAATCCAGTCATAATTTTACCTCTGCCTTGTTCCTTGAACCCAAATCTATACACTCACGAGCTCTGATGTTTGTGCCTCTTTCAGGGGGGTGGATAAAGAGTTTAAAGCCCCTGTTGTGCTGCTCAGTTCCCAGCTCCCTGCAGAGGAAAGAAAAAAAGTCTCCTGGCAGCCTCAAGCTGTTTTTAAACGAGACAAATGCCGGGGGTGCCTGTCTGCCAGAGCCTCCAGCCTGTACACCGAGTCCCTTTTTAGCACGCATCTCCGCACGGCTATATCTGGCTCCAGTTCCTTGCTCTGGGAACGTGACCTCATCGTTGTTTTGGTATTTCCAGTGATTCAGCCTGGTCCGGGGCAGGGAGGAGTCATTCCTGGTGCAGGCTGACGGGGTGTTTGTGCGTTGCTGGAATTCCAGAGCGGTGCAGCCCCAGCCCTTCCGCTGCCTTGACAGCTCGGCTGAGGCTGGGCTGGTGCATCGCATTCTTGCCTGGCAGATAGCCTGGATGCAGCTGGTAGAGGGACCAAAGCTCCTGCTTTTGGGGGTAATGGGGATCCCCGTCTTTGCAGCCTACCTGCCATGGTGAGGGTGAAGAAAGCTGTGTGCAGTATCTTGTATGCCTGGGAAAGCCACAAGGAGTCTCTGCTCTATGGGTGGAAAAACAGTCTCGCAGAATGCTCGTTACTATTTACAGACTGCCAGCATCCTGTAATGAAGTTAACTTTACAACATCTGCAGCAACTTGGTAAGTGTTATGATCCTTATTTCACAGGGAGGAAACTGAGGCACCGAACAGGGAGGTGGTCTGCTTGAGGTTTTATGCCCCTGAGCTAGAAAATTAAACTTCCGTGAAGTGGTGCTTGACTGCGTCTGTCCTGTCCTGTAATGGCTGTATTCCTCCAGTGAACGATGAACATGGGCAGTGGGTCAGACTGAGGCAGAGCGGTGCTTGTAGGGAAGAGCAGCTCCCAAAGTGAGATGAGGCCAGGCTGTACGGATGGCTAAACCCCATTTTCTGTGGGTATCACTTTCCTCCATCTTTCCAGGTGTGGTCAGAAAGCACAGGGCAGAACTTGTAGACAGGGTTCCCCAGCCAGGGTCAACAATGCTCATGCTCCTAGCAGGCTGTGGATGCTGCAGGGCTGTCACTTGTGCCTCGACAGGATTGCTCTTGCTGCAGGTGTGATGAGCCTTATCGCAGCCTTTATCTAAACACGCTCAACTGCCTCGTTTGAGCCTGGGTTGTTGTGAATGGTTTTTAAACCCTTTGGAATAATCTGGTGGTTAGCCATTCCCTGGCTGAGAACAGTTTGGCTGCAGAAGCAGCTTGGTTGAAGACGTGGCTTCAGTGTTGTCCTGCTTAGCAGTGAACCAGCCTGTCAGTGTAGTTGCTTCACCCCAGGAGAGACCTGTTCTCAGCTTGTCACTACACAGGAATAAGTCATGAAGGCTCATCATGTTCGGAGAAGCAGCCCGCTGTCTGGAGCCCTTTTGCCCATGTTGATGAATACCTGGAGATGAAGTCGTGGCTGTATTTTGTCTCAGATTGTTTTGGGGAGCTGTACCTGGCACCAGGTTCACTGCTGTTACATTGGGATGTTTCCCCTTTTTTATTGTGCAAGGGTAGCTCAATGCCAGGAGAGTTAACTCATCCCAAGGTCAGCTGGGCTGGGCTGCAGTAGAGAACCTCTGCACCGTGGAGGAGGAAAGCGTGAAGCATCTTCCTCATTGCAGGCACCGTCAGCCCAGGGAAAGGATATCAGCACATGCAGGAACAGGGAGTTTTAACTCCGACAACCTTGTTCTCCCAGTTGTGCGGGGGGGGTAGTAGGTGTACCAGCAGTTTGCTGGACAGAGGAGACAATAGATAATACATCCTGGCTGCTCTCATTAACAGGGAGCATTTCAGCCTGGCTTAATGCCTGGCTGGCTTCACCCTTCTGGTAGATTATCACCAGGACATACACCTATTACTTTGGGGTCCCTGTGCTGTCCTTGAAGCTAGGTTTCTAACAGCACTCACTGATGCAGTTGGCCTAAATCAACTGTTTCCAAACTTTTTCTTTTGAGGCTAGGCAATATTTTTTTCAAAGGAGGTGACCCCAGCCTCTACAGAACAGGCCTCAGTTGCTTCAGAACTACATGAACTCCCTGTTCTTTGTCACCGGTTGCACCCAGAGGTCACTGGCATGAGCTGTATGCCTGTCTGGCACTGGGCTTACTGAAAATAGGCTATGCCCGCTGTGGTATGCATCCTGAAACAGCTCCTTCTCAGCCTCTTGCTGAGGTATTTCAGTGCTTGTTTAATGGGCAGTGGCTGAAACCTGCAAACCCCCTTCTACTGCTGGTTGCAGTTGTGAGCACAATGGAGGTAAAGCCCCCAAACCCTTTGACACGCTGCTGCTTCGCCAAGCTAGTCCCTATCCCCCATCTTCCTTATTTGGTGTAAATCCAGTTGCAATACAGCTTGTAAGTTATCCTGAAATGGAAGGGAAAGAAGAATCTTAGCAGGAGGTGCCAAAGGCAGTGAACTGGAGGGAGAGGGTAAGTCCCAAAGATGTGGAGCCCCTGAGCATGGGGAGAGGGCCTGGACGACAGGGACGGGCTCCTGCACCATGAGCTGGTCACACACACGGATGGAGCAATGCTCTGATCAGCCTTTCTCCCAGGCGCGATGGGCTGCTGTAGCACTGTGCACCAGGGAAGGTGTGGGGCTGGGGCTGTCCAAAGTGGGGCGTAGGATAGAAAATTACATAGGTTTGCGTTACTGCTAGCAGGTGCTTTGTATGGAGTTGTAGGAGCTGCTGGAGAGTGTGGAGTTGGGGGGTCTCCCCTCGCTAGCGGTCACTTCACTCCACGGTTTCCCCATGCAGGCAGCTGCCCTCCCACCCCCCTGCCTGAGCAGGCAGGCGGTGGAGTCAGCCCGCACAGCCCCATCACGCCCGCTTCTTTCTGAGCTTGCTGTAAATGGCTCTCTGTAACACGAGCTGCATTTCTGCCATAGTCCTCTCCAGAGTGCATCTGCATTTACACTGGGGCTTTCATTACCAATCTGGCCCTTGCATTGCCAGCAGCCCGCAGCCCTCGCTTTTCTCTCCTGCCCACATGCTCTGTGAGCAAGACCAGCACCCTGGCACTGCTGTGCCCGAGGAGAGGCAGGTGACTGGCAGCAGGAGGAATCCCTGAGCCAGCTCCCATCTGGAAGAAGTGCCTTGTCATGTTGCCTCTCCCTCGCCATCCTGCAGCAAGGGGGGAGCCGCCCGCAGAGACTCCCCACAGCGCGGCTCGCTGATCCCTGAGCTGACACGGGGACAAGCTGGTTTTGCTTTGGATTATCGCTGGCTCTGCATGCTATATTCTTCCTGCTGCTCTCATGCCGTTGCTGCTGCACCCGTCTTCCAGCTGCAGTGAGCTGAGCCCACGATCTGGGGAGATTGTATCTGGCAAGGTAGGAGCTGCTCCCTTCTGTTCTGCTAAAAGTAACGTGGCCAGTCCTGCCCCTGCCTGGGGAGCATGCTTCAATTAGTAGTGTGTATGTGGTTTTATTTTGCATTGTTCTGTAGCTCTGATGAACAGTCAGTGTGCTGCTCAGGCTGTAGCCTCTATTACATGGAAAGAAAATGGATTTATCCATTTTCTTTTTATTTACACACTGGAAAAACAAACTGGCTCCCTTTCTACTCTGGAGCTCCAGAGCCTGTCTGTCTTCTCTGTTCTTGTGCAGCATCCTGTGCATGTTCTGCAGGTCATGTCACTTGCTTCTTCAGGTGATACGAAAGTAGAAAGGGCAGTCTGAATGTGCCTTGGGAGAAAGGGGGAGGGAGAAGAAGCTCATGGAAGACAAAAATCAAGGAAGTTTAATAGGCATAGAAATGGCTTGAGAGAAATTATTTTTACCCCACAAAATTAGACAAGGGAAGAGCCTCCTTTCCCTGGATAGTCTCAGACGGGTATCTTTTTTTCCCCCCCCCTCCTTCAGTCCCTTAGGGCAAGCTGTTTTGATATGGAAAGGCTTGAGGCTGCTGTTGTCCCTAGGGGTGGAGGAGAGTCAGTCTTGTTAGTCTGGTGCCTTCTTTCCAGCGAGCCTCACTGGCATTTAATGCTTCACCTTCCCCCACCACTGCACACCTTCACTGGGGCTGTATAGGGAAAAGAGGTGATGACCAAGAAACCCTACCCCTGCAGGATTTCCCTGCAGTAGCCAAGGATAGATAAAATAGGAGGGCAGCCTCATTTTCTTCTGACCTCACTGGTGTTCAGGCACAACTGTTCCCTTTTTAGTCCACAGCAGCTGGGGTGTGCCTGCCTCTGTACACACAGCCGTCCATCATCCCCAAGCTTGCTGTACCTGGGCTTCCCTCCCATGTGGAGAGGAGTATCCCAGCAGGACAGACAAGGATATCAGGCCTTCTGCAGGTGATGGTTTACTTCTGAGGACTAGCCCAAACAACAAACCATGTTTTAGGGGCCCCCTATACCCCTAGTTGCTAAGCTGCAAGGAGGGAAGGGGGTCCTCCAGCTTTCCCTCCTTAGCATACCCTACTGTGCTGCCAGTGGGTGTATAAATAGTGCCCACAGTATACTATTTTGGTGACAAGCTCTTCCCAGGATTCATCCAAAGAGTTATGTGAGCAAGTGTTAAAAATAACACCAAGCCCTGCCCAAATGCTGGCGTTGTTTCAGCCAAAGTGTTGGGAATCTTCCATAGAGAGCAGCCTTGGACCCTTGGGAGGGGGCAGAGGGTGGGGGTCTGTCAGGGCTCCCCATGTTTTCCTCTTCCTGCTGCCCTGCGGACCACAGAGGACACTGA